TGTAAATAATGAATATAAACTGATCTGGAATTATCAATATATTTCCTATTTTTCTTATTCTACTATGTGTTAAAAGAAGGGATAGTTCTTCGAGAATACACTTAGTGTATTTAATGGCTTATTATATGGTGCCAACACCAAACCTTTACTCCAGCATTAAATTGTAATGCTTTTATGCTGAATTAGGCTGTATTGAGAATATGGAGGATGGATAAGAAAATATTTATTTAAGAAGATCACTTTTGTAATCACCCTTTATCTGGGTTATATTTGTGAAAAAGAGGTTCATAGCGTATCAGATTATTTCAGTCTAAATCAAGATTCTGATTATGATATGCGCTATGAAGGACCACTGTCCAAAACATTGCTTATTATATATTTTCTTTTAAGGCAGTGCTATTGATGAATGTGTTGAGTTTTCACGTTATCTATGGGGTGAGCTTAAATTATTCGCCTTATTTGTGTGGAGCAACCAGTGATATTCCCTGTACCGTTGTAGTTTAAAGAGAAAATTATTTAATGGAGACACTGATAGCCCATAAAGCCGTGTGTTCGAGGTCTATAAATGAGTCATATCGATACGATGTAAAGCTCTGAATGTAGGATGCACCTTGGCCATGATGCAGCGAAGACACAACTTTCATCTCACTTGTGGGGATTCATGGCTTGATACTTGAATATTATAAATAAGCAGATTGATGCCTGTTTAAGGGGGAAAAGTGTGGCTTTATATTTTAGAGGGGTTATGCGGTGAGTTCTATTATTTTTATTGGCAGGCAGTTAAAATACAATACCTTAAAATATAGGCATTAAGTTATGATGTGTGTTGACTTGAAGCAAGCATATGATTGCATTAGTGATTGAGAAAATCTAGGTTGGTATGGAATTCCAGGTACCATACGCGGGCTGCTTATGAATTGGTATGATGAAACTGCAGTTAGTAAAGCCATCACAATAGTTTGAGGTTAGGGACCAGTATTCGGCACAGATGTTGAATGCGCCTAACATGACAATGTTTATGGTAGACAGTATAACATCTAGGATTCATGGGGTAATTTATACTTGATAGACTTGAGTATGCAGATAATGCAGAAGTACAATCTACAACCTCAGCTATCATAGTATGGTTTTTGTGATTTTTAAGTACAGGACTGAGTTATACACAGGGTCCTTAATGTCGGGTTTCCAAAAGTTAGGTTATTGGCAGTAGGTGGTTATGGATGTTCTGTCATAAGAAAAAAATAACTTAAGCAATGAGACAGTCCAGGAAATAGAGGATGATGGCGTTTCGTGTAATGCAGTGGTCTTACAGAAGCTTCGGCTTCGCATCTCCGAGTACTAGAATTAACATCTAATTTGTAAAATATGTACGCGTTAGAAATGTGTTTATTTTTATATTATTATTAAGAGTCAATAAATTAGCCGATTGGGCTTCAGGCCGTATAAGCCACTTGTGAAGGGTAGAGCTGTTTATATTTGTATTAAGAGAGGGGTGTTTAAAACTAAAAGTACTGTGATGTCTTTTGCTGTATTGCTTAGATAACTTTAATAAAGAAATACAATCTTGATTTGAAGCTTTCGTGACTGCAGGAATCCATACTCTTTGGTTCTTTCGGTAAAGTCACGTAGGTATAAAATAAAATAAATCACGACGTTTCGGGCACAACACAAGCGTCCGTCATCAGGTGGGAAAGCATGATCTGCTGCTGAGGCAGACTGTTTTAAAAGGTTTGAAATGGGTGTAGCCCAAGGGTCATAAAGAAGTGGGCGGGGCTAGTGATGTTAAAGTGAGAAATTAGCATGTAAATGTAAGATCGGAGAGCGGCCTCCTCGACAAGGGCACGGAAGTGGCTATGTTAATTAGCATGTTAATGTAAGATCGAAGAGTTGTGCAATCCAAAGGCATGAGAGTGCAATCCAAAGGACATGTGAGCATGAGAGTGCAATCCAAAGGCATGAGAGTGCAATACAAAGGACATGTGAGTATGAGAGATCTGAGAGAACGGCATAGAGAGAGAGACACACTGAAAGTCGGAAATAGCCGCTGACATAGGCAGGTAGGATGGAAACATCACAGTCAGTTAAGACTTTACTGAGTTAATAACATCCTTCCAATGATTGCTCAGTTTGTACCCATCTTCTTGGTTGAAGTTGTGTCTGTGTTTTTATATCTGGATGGCTTCATGAACAAATCTCTGAAGGTAGCCGGTAGGTTTGCAGAGTACCTCCGTCTTGGAAAATCAATTTCGTGTTGAGCCCACAGTGTGAAAACAATGATCAGCAACGGTAGAGGTATTGGTCCTACCGTGTTTCAGATCTGCCTTGTGTTCACGAACGCGGTGTGAGACATGTTGTGTCGTTTCCCCAATGTAACTGCTGCTGCAACCACAACTCAGTTTGTAGAAACCAGGGTATTGCATGTCAGGAATCACATCCATTAGAGATGGAATTAAATCATGGATTGTGTGTACTGTGTTGAAACGAACCTGGATCTTATGTTTGTTTAAGATTTTGGAAATATTTTTGGTAACCCCTGCTATTTATGGTAAAGTGATGGTTTTGGTTGGATCCTCAGAAGGTTGTCTCCCCATGGCTGGGGAGACAGTTTTCGGATTGTACGGTCTGAGTATCCGTTCATCCTGAGGGCTTGGTGTACGTGTTCCAACTCACTGGCTAGGTGGTGCTGGTCGGAGATGCAACGGGCCCTATGGTGTAGTGTTTTGATGAGGGAATTCTTCTGGGCTGGATGGTGGTGGGAGTCAGGCTTTAGAGAGGCATCCGTGTGGGTGGCTTTCCTGTAGACCGAATATCCGAACGAGCCATCAGGTCTCTTGATTAAAACATCCAGGAAAGGTAGCTTGCCATCCTTTTCCACTTCCATGGTGAACTTGATAGAGGGGTGTATGGAATTAATGTGGTTGAGAAATTGGTTCAGTGCTGGCAGGCCATGTGGCCAGATGACGAACATGTCATCTACGTATCTCTTCCACAAGGAAGAACGTAGGGTGGATGTCTGGATGGCATCTGTCTCAAATTTCTCCATGAAAACATTTGCTACCACCGGCGATAAGGGAGAACTCACTGGCGATAAGGGAGAACCCATGAAGCCATCCAGATATATCAACACAGACACAACTTCAACCGAGAGGATGGGTACAAACTGAGCAATCATTGGAAGGACGTTATTAACCAGGTAAAGTCTTAACTGACTGTGATGTTTCCATCCTACCTGCTTATGTCAGCGGTTATTTCCGACTCTCTGTGTGTCTCTCTATCTATGCCTCTCTCTTAGATCTCTCATGCTCACATGTCCTTTGAATTGCACTCATGCCTTTGGATTGCACTCTCATGCTCACATGTCCTTTGGATTGCACTCTCATGCCTTTGGATTGCACCACTCTTCGATCTTACATTAACATGCTAATCTCTCACATTAACATAGCCACTTCCATGCTCTCGTCGAGGAGGCCGCTCTCTGTTCTTACAGTTACATGCCAATTTCTCATATTTGCATCACTAGCCCCGCCCACTTCTTTATGACCCTTGGGCTACACCCATTTCAAACCTTTTAAAACAGTCTGCCTCAGCAGCAGACCATCGCTTTCCCACTTGATGACGGACGCTTTCTTTTAATTTATACCGACGTGACTTTCCTGAAAGAACCAAAGATTAAGAAATACAATATTCAATGTTCCCTTTTGGAATGTGCAAACGAATCTAAAAATTAGTGGTGGTGTGGGAAAGGTGTCTTGCAGAACCTGCAAGACACGTTTGTGGCGCACTGATTTTAATAATAATTAAAAAATCCACATTGAGAAAATGCAGATTCACGGATTGTAGGCGTTTTTAGCCATGCGACTTCAATAAATCGGGGAAAAATTTACTACTGTACAATCAGCGGCGGCTCGTGACATTTCCACGAGGTGGGGCTGTTGTGAGTGACCTCTGAAAATATGGTGTTCTAATTAAGAAAAACCTCGTTATGTTATTGGCCTTCCCGTAAAAGTGATATAACTGTCCTATCTACCAAACGGTAGGCATTTATAAACAATACTAAACAAAACAACAAAGCATTCAAATGCTGTCCCCATGAAACCTCCAGTCCACACTACGCAATCCCTTTGACATTGCCAAAAGCCTAGAGCGTATAGACGTGAGGTGCTGTATTTGCACAGCGCAACCTCGCGTTGTGACATCGTCTCACTACAGCCATGGGCGCCTTTTCCACCGCCCCAAATGGGTCTCAAACGGCGTGGCTCAAATGCGAAGCTACTCGCAACGAATGTAAGGGATATCTCTCACTCTAGACGCCTTCACAGCCGCCCCGAGACTTAAACTGTTACCTTCATTAAGCAATTCACATTGAAGGAATCGTTATGTTAAAATTTCTTTAAAGACAACAAGACAATTTATAGAAAAGTATTTTATTAGAAAAATAATGTATCATCTCCAGCTGCTTGGTGCGGCGGCGTCCCAACGCCCCTAGTGGACGAACCGCGCCCGTGTACAATACAAAATAAAATGGAAATTCGCATTTGCAGATAGATGACATGGGAACAGATGATAATTTCCAGTCATGTTTTTATTGAAAGTTGCTGAAAACATGTCGAGACCGAATGTGAATCTGATTGCCGTCAGCAACGCATATCGGGAAAAAGTTAAAGACTCAGCATATAAATTTTGATTTAAAGCTTTCGTGACTGCAGGGATTCATATTCTTGGTTCTTTCGGTAAAGTCACCACGTAGAAGGGAAACAATAAAATAATCAAAAAATATAAAACAAAAAAATTCTCACGACGTTACGACTGCAACACAAGCAATCATCATCAGGTGTGAAAACCACAGCAATACAATAAAAACAAAGTGGCGATTTTTTTAACGTTAACAATTTGAAAAAAGTGGCGGTTTTTTACGTAAAAAAATCGCCACTTTTTCAAATTTTCTTGCTGTGGTTTTCACACCTGATGATGATTGCTTGTGTTGCAGTCGAAACGTCGTGATAATTTTATTGTTTTATATTTTTATTACTTATTGTTTCCCTTCTACGTGACTTTACCGAAAGAACCAAGAATACTCAGCATATACTTAAAACACTGCAAGTGATAATCTTAGTGGAAAGACCACAGAAAATAATAGAGTATAGTTGTATAGTGTGTGAAGGGGGAAGCAAATTTGTTTTGTGTGCCGGGTCAGCAAGGACACACAATTTGCATAGCAAGTTGATGCAAGGTAAGTAAAACACAGTTTCAAAGAGTGGAGGAACAATGTTAGAGACTTCGGGAAAACACTGAGTCGAGAAATACCAGCAAAGGCAGAGAGGGAGCGGAGTGGCAATGGGATAGAGAGGTAAGAGAGGCAATGAGAGCTGGGTCATTAACAAGCTTGTTATTCAATTATATAAAGACAATGTCGTGCTGATTTTTGATGCACTACCCCAATAATTTCAATTTAAAAAGTTTGCTCAGGGAATGACATTTTATTAGATAAGCATTCAATCATCTTTTGCGCACTGTAATTGTTGAACTGTGCTTATATGCTCCTGCATCTGTTTTTCCCACCATTAAACCGTACTCATCAGCATGGTAAAGTATGGTAAAATAACTCCCACGAGCACGGTGGGAGATGCCTTTAACCAGCAGCATATTGACAAAGAGCTGTACACGTACTCGCATTCATTGAAAGTCGTGCATATATTAACGATTTGCTTATACATATGCTGTATACTCATCTGTGTGTCCTCGGTCACAAATCCACAAACATGTGAGAAATACATAATCTATAACAATGCTTGTACTCGAATTTTCAATAATAAGTGACCAAAGATGATACACCATAATAAAGATACACCAGTTCTTTAATTGAAAGGTCTACATTATATTTTTATTATTCAATGCATCACAACCAAAAAAAAAGAACTGTGCTCTAAGAGTACACAACCATAAAAAAGAGAGCTAAAGAAGGCACAAAGAGGCTCGGGGAGTGTGTTATCTAGAAAATCATTCTTTGCTACTGACTTTATCAAAACAAAGATATTACATGGAATTATTGAAGTAGGGTATGACCAAAAGTATTTAAATCTTCAATTTAGCAACGGGCATATTTTTGAGCCTTGCTCTGTGGTCCACATACCGCGAGGCACGCCGTTCAATAAAAGAAACACCTTTAATATGTTTCTGAAGTCCTGGTTTCCAAAGGTATTAGACGACATGATAAATATATACTCTATGCCAGTGCTTTCTTTTTCGGTAATATCGCCGTCTACAGCAGGCAATCTGTGAAGCAAACACAGGTGGCATTTGTTTTCATTTTGAGCTAAAGGTATATTTTATAACGTATATTTTTTAATGTGTTTCATAGCATATCATTCAGGACCGTTAATTCGTGCACTCCGCGTGTGACAAGTGCATTGGAGCCCTTTCACACTCATTCTAACGCATGGACATCACACACAATTTCCCTGCTGCAAGCATCCCCCTTGAGGGCAAAGACATACTAATGCACATATAGCATGCAAAGACACACAACTTGGATACGAGATGCATTGCATACAACTCAAATGTAAACACACTTCACTCACAGGTAAAACAAGCCCAAACGTCTACGCCAGCAACCTACCCATCTCTCATCGTGAGCATCTCTAAACATTACAGCCCCATTGCATTGCCCTTGTTTTTGTTTTTAGATTAATAGTTGCCACTTACCAGCCACAAGCAGCAACAGCAGTGAAGTAGCACAGCAAGCAGCAAACACGACAGGGTGATGGCAAAGATGACCCAAAAGGGCAAGGCGGCCGCAACACTCTGCTGTGAGGTAGCGCCAAAAGCATCCCTTTCTGAATCACACACAAATACATTACAGTAAGTAATGTGTCATTATGCATAGCGTTTGTAGACTGTAGCAAGTTCTCACAAACCTGGCCATCATAAAAAATATATATAAATAAATTGTCAATATGAATGATTATCAAAATAATTTAAGAAGATGAAATAGCTACACTAAGGTTACATAAAAAAAGAAGTAACACCTCCGATTAGCAGGGTTGGCTATGTACAGTGTGAAAGAAATTCAACATACATACAATCTCACCAAGGATATTCACAGTTACAATAGAAGATCAGTTTAACAAGTAGGCTTTCGCGACCAATATCCATAATAGAGGGTTTTGGGTTAGATCGCATAAATATAAATGTAGTTAAATCCACCACCACCCGACACAGCCAATTGGTAAGAAGGTTTGTCACGTAAACAAAACATGCCAATTCGTTACTAGTTTAGCGCAACGGTATGATGGAGAGTAAACCCACAACATTTACAATTCGATGTTTTTCAGAAAATTGCACTCGATAAATTAAGGCATCAACATGAGTGGGGAAAATATCCACGTCAGTAATTTTGTAAAGTCGTTATTTACCAATAACATTTATCACAATCTCTTTTAATTTATTTACAAATGAGATGCGTGAAGAGACGGAGGGGAAGGTGTGAAAATCTATTGGGGTCCAAAACTCACCTACCGCTACCCCCCAGAAATTGCAATAATTTTTCTTTAAGCTCAATACCAAAAAAAAGTTGTCATTGCATTTATCATCAAGCTTGCAACTTATTTCACGGAATGCACATCATTATTCTAAAGGAAAAAAAATAGCATCTAACGAGCACTTCAGAATGAAATAACGAATGGATTTTTTGTTTTTGCTTGCATGCTTCCAATGCTTGCTACAATTTCAATGTGTTACATTGCCAGATGTCTTTTCTCATTCGTTGCATCGTTCTACAGAGTTCCATGTAATTCATCTTTATTGGTGCATTTTCAGCTATTTTTACATGTCGCCTCTTCTTAATGTCTTTTATGGGTTCAGATAAGTTTCTCATTGCTTCCTATCCTTTCCCCAACTTACAATGATCATTGGCAATTTATAAATGGTAGCCCTTGGAGAAACAGTGGGAGCCAAGAAATGGAACGTGTCCAAGGGTACATGATTCCATTGCAGGATTGCGGGGGGTGGTGGTGACTTTGGGAGGCCTTTATCCAACATTAGATTGACAGTAGCTTATGATGATGAAGATATGTATTCCAGTTGGCTAAAGGTTATGTATATATTACCTGTTATTGTAATGCTTTCCATGTCCAGTTGATATTCTCCAAGGAGGCCATTTTGTAGGTTTTTAACAATGTTGTAGTAGACGGTTGTGGCATTTAATTCATTGATACTGCTCTCATTTGATATGAATGTGCAGATACTGTACACGTTGAGGAATACAGGGCTGTTCACAATAAATAAAGACGTTAATTGCAAACATTTGATAAAACATACACAAAACAGAATACGTGGCGGTCGTTTTAACAACTGCACAGGCCTCACACTACACATAAACTTATAATCTCGTCAAAAATGTAAAGTATCTTGAGGGATTGGTAGTGCTCACCTCAGAGGCAATCCTAAGGTAATAGTCTACAATCTAACTTCATATGGCAAGGACCAGTCTCTCCAGAATACAGCCACTTTTGGCTTCCCACAACATGATACTCATTTTATTGACCCAAGAGGAGTTGCTGTAATAGAAAGTACTGGCACAGAATACCAATCGAGTATTGTTCCATTATAACAACCAATCATAATAATCTGGAGATTTTCGTGAGTAAAATATTAAATTTAGCACCCTCGGTGACCACGTATAAGTGACTCGTATCCATAGATGACGATAACTATCATTTCTGTCATAACTATCATTTCTGTCCTCTTCATAAATGTTGCGACCACCACTGCAGTTGCCAGAAGCGTGTTTGGGGTTGCATGCATCCAAAAATTTTCTTGCATTCCCTGAAAGTTATATGCTTGATTCATGCCTTACTAACGATTATAAGATGATTTCACCACTGATTCTTGGATATTCCACTTATCTGTTGGTAAGCATTTCTAATTTCATGGATAACTGAAATATTTCTAAAATGATTTCGCGGTATAGATTATAGCAAGAGTAAATAATAAGATCATGGATGAGAGGAGATTCACATATGATATGATTTTTAAAATACAATTTGGGACGTACTTCATCTCCTTCAATAAACTTGCTGACAAAGGAAAAACAGCGCCATCCAATATGCAGCATTGAATGTACATAGACTTGGACTCTGCATTCTACCACGCCAGGGACTACACATACATGCGTGCAGAAAGTGTGGCATGAATAGAATGTGATATAATCCCAATGCTCTTATTATTGGGTCGCCATGTCTTGTTGTCAGTTTTGTTGCCAGATAAAAGGGTAAAAAAAAAACAATTATCATATTTTGCTACTGGCAAAGGAGGTTCCAATGGTATGTGTGAGAAATTTACTGAAAATTTTACTTCAATGCCTCAAGCTCTAAAAGTCAGTCTAGTACATCATAGTGCTATCATGGTTTCTATATCAATGCCTGAAGCTTAGCATGCTTAGAACCCCCAGGATTCTTAGAAATCAGCAGTATTAACAAATTACATTAGGATTAAACAATCATCGATTGATGGGCGAGCTCATAGTCTTGCTATGCTTGGTTGAGAACAGTATGCTTTATACAGGGTCGTTTAAAAAATGTTAACACTTAAATGGGACTATCATTTTTAATGGAAATGTATGTTAATAGCTTCAAAAAGTCAAAGAGTCTCCACTTGTTCGCCATCATTCTCAACACATGCCTGGAATCTTCTCCAGGTGGTCTCCATAGCCCAGAGGCAGCAGCACATTTCTTGTGGTATTGATGAAAATTCTCCGAAGTGTTAACATTTTTTTGAAGCACCCTGTATTGTGTCAATTTTGACTCTTCATTCATTTAAACCTTTAAAATCAAGCCGATTTCCTAAAATCAATGCGATTTTTTTAAAAAAATGTAATGCCAAATGAACTCCATTATGATCACTGTCATTATGATCATGATTGCGATAATTGCATAGTGTGCTGTATTTCTTAAAAATCATATACTCACTCAATTTGAATTATTGTGCAGGAATTAAACATGGCCTTAAGATCACTTTGGTTGAACAGCTGATTAAACTAGAAAAAAAATTGTGTTACAGATTAAAATGACGTATCGTATATACAATTTCATATTACATCAACACAGTAATGCATTATTTCAATAGTTATTATACCTTTATCCACTAAAGTGTGTTTCTGTATAAAGTTCGTTAAGCAATATAAGTGGCTAATGTGATAGTTTGTCTAGACATTGGAAAATAATTCTGAGTATAGAACTATATGTGTTGAATATGCCTTGTGATGTCCAAAATAATTATGAGTACATGCAGTAAAAAACTATTCCTAAAACTACATCTTTTAAGTATTTTTTTATTTTCTATATCATTTTGTTCTCACCTGTAGGCATATTAATTAATGGAAAGATCAACAACACAGTTGTTCAATTCTGATATTGTGATAACTTAATAGCCAATTCCTTCTAAAAATGTATTCAAGTAAAATTGGAACAAAAAATAAACTTACCAATTGAGTAATGTTTGATTGTAATCCAATGTAATACGGAGATGAAATGTTGTAAAGTTCTGACGAAAACTGTTGGTTTATAATATTAAATTTAACACCGAATGATTTATAAAATAATGTAGTGGGAAATCCAAGGATGGACGCTGAAGATTTTGCATCTGAAATTACATCATAAAAAAATATTTTTAAAATATCAATACAATTTGTAGTATCAAATTCACAGGCTACTCTTCCATTAGCATATTCTCCAGATTATTAGATTCCCCCCTGTATTTTAAAGCAACATTTGGGGGTGTATTCTTCTAGGTGCGTGTGTGTGTAACCAGACTTGTATGACCATAGTGACACCGGGAACAAGTTTGGGTTGCATATTCTCTCTGGATTGTCTGGTAATCTGGAGAAGATAGGTATTGGAAACATAGCTCAATATATTCTAGATTGTCATGTTATTACAGACAATTGTGTTATATACAGAGTTTAGTAAGATGAGTAACAAATTTCTACCCTGATAAACACGTAATTACATTACATTGCCGATCCATTATATTGCATAAATTGTCTTCAGCTATTCAATATTTTCTGTAATTTGCAAATGAATCTTCCTCTGTTTGCTAATTCCTCAAAGATGCTTTTGATTGTCATTTTTATCTCAAGGACATCATTCTTAGAATGGTCTGTTATCGTAACCCTATAATATTAAAGCTACTATTATCACTATTCCCGTTAAGTGTGGGGAAAAATGCTGTCTTGCTTTATCAGCATCTTCCATATATGCCTGCATATATTTCCTTGAGTTGTTTTCTCGTGAAAACGCTTTCAACTTAATCTGCATGCTCTCTTGTCCCCCACCCCCCAAAAAATAAACTGTACTGAGCATTGTTTAAATTCCCTAACCTTTTCTATTGGTTCTTCAGCTGGATTCTCACTTAACCATATTTATTTTCACTGTCAGACTTGCTTCTGAACTTGATAATCGTCACCTGCACTGTCAAAGAGTCGACGTGCACTTCTCATCTTTTGCAACTACGCAAGGTGACGAAATCTTTGGGAGGCTCAACTTATATTCTTAGCTCTTTCGGTAAAGTCACGTTGTGGGGAAACAATATATATTTTATTATTTTATTGTTTCCCTTCAACGTGACTTTACCGAAAGAGCTAAGAATATGAATTACTGCAGTCACGAAAGCTTTAAATCAAAATTTAGGCTCAACATAGTTCCATTGTCGTTTGATTTTATCACAACATATTTTTACGTCATAATTGTAAGATAATTGTGCTTTGAAGTCTAGTAGCATGATACCATCGTGAGTATGCATCGTATTATGTTATTAAAATATTTAAGCTTAATCTTATGTTAACTCAGTTATACAGGCTTAAAATACTGTCACTTTACAATGACTAAGCTTCATTCTGACTAAAATGATCAGGTAATTCATGATTCATTTTTTTTTTAATATCCACTGATAATTAATATCCCTAACGCCTGCGTGATGCTATCATATTTCCAATACACTGTTTCACTCACTGAAGGCCGACGATCCAAAAGAAGTAGCTTTGCGTGTTGCCGTTGATAAAAGGTTTAGTGATGATGACAGAGGTAAAATTGTTGTTGCTGATGTCGACAGAGCACTGATAGGAGTGGCTGTTGTCAATATTGTTGATGTGCCATTTGTGACTTGAATTCCAGTTGTAGATGCTTTTAATGTTGATGTTGGAATATTAGTCATATTTGTTGAATTATTTGTTTGTTGCGTTGTAAGGAATGTAGATGACAATGGGTTTGCTCCAATAGATGCCGCATTTGTCATGGATGGACTTGAATATGATCCAAGTGAAATTGTTGACGTATGAATATTTGTTCCGGTTGTTGTTGAACCAGTAGAAGTTTGAAGGGCAGTTCCTGAAGTGGATGCACTAACATTTGTAGGATATGCTGAATATCCAAAAGAGAGAGTTGATGTGTAATTGATTGATGGTGAAGGAGTGGTGGAGCTCACCGTCCAGGTTGTCAATCCTTTTGTTGTCCCAGAAAATAAGGAACTTGTTGGTGAGGTTTGCGTCATTTGCTGTGTTGTGTTAAGGCTTGTATTATATTGAAATGTCAACGTGGATGCAATTGTAGATTGTGTGATACTTTGCCATTGGCTTGTTTGTGTAGACGATAACGTATTTGGTGAAGTTGATATTTCAATCGTTGGCATTTGAGTTGTGTTTGTGGCTGGTGAAACAGCTGAACTTGATAAATTGGAGATTGTTGGAGTTTGATTTGATGTTTCGGTATTGATAAAGGTAGTCGTTGATGAGGAATTAACATATGTCATCGTACTTTGAGATTGGTCATTAGTTTTAGTGAAGCTAATTGAAGTGGCGGACAATCCAAAAGAAGTAATTTTGCTTGTTGCCGTTGATAAAAGGTTTAATGATGATGATAGAGGTAAAATTGTTGTTGCTGATGTCGACAGAGCACTGATAGGAGTGGCTGTTGTCAATACTGTTGATGTGCCATTTGTGACTTGAATTCCAGTTGTAAATGCTTGTAATGTTGATATTTGAATATTAGTCATATTTGTTGAATAATTAGTTTGTTGTGTTGTAATGAATGTAGATGACAATGGGTTTGCTCCAGTAGATGCCGCATTTGTCATGGATGGACTTGAATATGATCCACGTGAAATTGTTGACGTATGAATATTTGGTCCAGTTGTTGTTGAACCAGTAGAAGTTTGAAGGGCAGTTCCTGAAGTGGATGCACTAACATTTGTAGGATATGCTGAAGATCCAACAGAGAGAGGTGATGTATAATTGATTGATGGTGAAGAGGTGGTGGAGCTCACTGTCCAGGTTGCCATTCCTTTTGTTGTCCCAGAAAATAAGGAACTTGTTGGTAGGTTTGTTGTCATTTGCTGTGTTGAGTTAAGGCTTGTATTATGTTGAAACGTCAACGTGGATGCAATTGTAGATTGTGTGGTACTTTGCCATTGGCTTGTTTGCGTAGACGATAACGTACTTGGTGAAGTTGATATTTCAATCATTGGCATTTGAGTTGTGTTTGTAGCTGGTGGAACAGCTGAACTCGTTAAATTAGAGATTGTTGGACTTTGATTTGATGTTTCAGTAATGATGAAGGTAGTCGTTGATGAGGAATTAACATATGTCGTCGTACTTTGAGATTGGGCATTAGTTTTAGTGAAACTAATTGAAGTGGCGGACAATCCAAAAGAAGTAGTTTTGCTTGTTGCCGTTGATAAAAGGTTTATTGATGATGACAGAGGTAAAATTGTTGTTGCTGATGTCGACAGAGCGCTGATAGGAGTGGCTGTTGTCAATATTGTTGATGTGCCATTTGTGACTTGAATTCCAGTTGTAGATGCTTGTGATGTTGATGTTTGAATATTAGTCATATTTGTTGAATAATTTGTTTGTTGTGTTGTAAGGAATGTAGATGACAATGGATTTGCTCCGGTAGATGTCGCATTTGGTATGGATGGACTTGAATACGATCCAAGTGATATTGTTGACGTATCAATATTTGGTCCGGTTGTTGTTGAACGAGTAGAAGTTTGAAGGGCAGTTCCTGAAGTGGATGCACTAACATTTGTAGGATATGCTGAAGATCCAACAGAGAGAGGTGATGTATAATTGATTGATGGTGAAGGATTGGTGGAACTCACAGTCCAGGTTGTCAATCCTTTTGTTGTCCAAGAAAATAAGGAACTTCTTGGTGAGCTCTGCGTCATTTGCTGTGTTGTGTTAAGGCTTGTATTATGTTGAAACGTGAACGTGGATGCAATTGTAGATTGTGTCGTACTTTGCCATTGGCTTGATTGCGTAGACGATAATGTATTTGGTGAAGTTGATATTTCAATCGTTGGCATTTGAGTTGTGTTTGTGGCTGGTGAAACAGGTGAACTTGGTAAATTGAAGATTGTTGGAGTTTGATTTGATGTTTCGGTATTCATAAAGGTAGTCGTTGATGAGGAATTAACATTTGTCGTCGTACTTTGAGATTGGGTATTAGTTTTAGTGAAACTAATTGAAGTTTCGGACAATCCGAAAGAAGTAGTATTGCTTGTTGCCGTTGATAAAAGTTTTAATGATGACGACAGAGTTAAAATTGTTGTTGCTGATGTCGACAGAGCGCTGATAGGAGTGGCTGTTGTCAATATTGTTGATGTGCCATTTGTGACTTGAATTCCAGTTGTAGATGCTTGTAATGTTGATGTTTGAATATTAGTCATATTTGTTGAATAATTAGTTTGTTGTGTTGTAAGGAATGTAGATGATAATGTGTTTGCTCCAGTAGATGCCGCATTTGTCATGGATGGACTTGAATATGATCCACGTAAAATTGTTGACGTATGAATATTTGGTCCAGTTGTTGTTGAACCAGTAGAAGTTTGAAGGGCAGTTCCTGAAGTGGATGCACTAACATTTGTAGGATATGCTGAAGATCCAACAGAGAGAGGTGATGTATAATTGATTGATGGTGAAGGAGTTGTGGAGCTCACTGTCCAGGTTGTCAATCCTTTTGTTGTCCCAGAAAATAAGGAATTTGTTGGTAAGGTTGGTGTCATTTGCTGTGTTGTATTAAGGCTTGTATTATGTTGAAACGTGAACGTGGATGCAATTGTAGATTGCGTGGTACTTTGCCATTGGCTTGTTTGCGTAGACGATAACCTATTTGGTGAAGTTGATATTTCAATCGTTGCCATTTGAGTTGTATTTGTGGCTGGTGGAACAGCTGAACTCGGTAAATTGGAGATTGTTCGAGTTTGATTTGATGTTTCGGTATTGATAAAGGTAGTCGTTGATGAGGAATTAACATTTGTCATCGTACTTTGAGATTGGGTATTAGTTTTAGTGAAACTAATTGACGTTTCGGACAGTCCAAAAGAAGTAGTATTGCTTGTTGCCATTGATAAAAGTTTTAGTGATGATGACAGAGGTAAAATCGTTGTTGCTGATGTCGACAGAGCGCTGATATGAGTCGCTGTTGTCAATATTGTTGATGTGCCATTTGTGACTTGAATTCCAGTTGTAGATGCTTGTAATGTTGATGTTTGAATATTAGTCATATTTGTTGAATAAGTAGTTTGTTGTGTTGTAAGGAATGTAGATGATAATGGGTTTGCTCCAGTAGATGCCACATTTGTCATGGATGGACTTGAATATGATCCACGTGAAATTGTTGACATATGAATATTTGGTCCCGTTGTTGTTGAACCAGTAGAAGTTTGAAGGGCAGTTCCTGAAGTGGATGCACTAACATTTGTAGGATTTGCTGAAGATCCAACAGAGAGAGGTGATGTAGAATTGATTGATGGTGAAGGGGTGGTGGAGCTCACTGTCCAGGTTGTCAATCCTTTTGTTGTCCCAGAAAATAAGGAACTTGTTGGTAAGGTTGGTGTCATTTGCTTTGTTGTATTAAGGCTTGTATTATGTTGAAACGTGAACGTGGATGCAATTGTAGATTGTGTGGTACTTTGCCATTGGCTTGTTTGCATAGACGATAACGTACTTGGTGAAGTTGATATTTCAATCGTTGGCATTTGAGTTGTGTTTGTAGCTGGTGGAACAGCTGAACTCGTTAAATTGGAGATTGTTCGAGTTTGATTTGATGTTTCAGTATTGATGAAGGTAGTCGTTGATGAGGAATTCATATATGTCGTCGTACTTTGAGATTGGGCATTAGTTTTAGTGAAACTAATTGAAGTGGCGGACAAGCCAAAAGAAGTAGTTTTGCTTGTTGCCGTTGATAAAAGGTTTATTGATGATGACAGAGGTAAAATTGTTGTTGCTGATGTCGACAGAGCGCTGAAAGGAGTGGCTGTTGTCAATATTGTTGATGTGCCATTTGTGACTTGAATTCCAGTTGTAGATGCTTGTGATGTTGATGTTTGAATGTTAGTCATATTTGTTGAATAATTTGTTTGTTGTGTTGTAAAGAATGTAGATGACAATGGATTTGCTCCGGTAGATGCCGCATTTGGTATGGATGGACTTGAATATGATCCAAGTGATATTGTTGACGTATCAATATTTTGTCGGGTTGTTGTTGAACGACTAGAAGTTTGAAGGGCAATTCCTGAAGTGGATGCACTAACTTTTGTAGGATATGCTGAAGATCCAACAGAGAGAGGTGATGTAAAATTGATTGATGGTGAAGGGGTGGTGGAGCTCACTGTCCAGGTTGTCAATCCTTTTGTTGTCCCAGAAAAAAAGGAACTTGTTGGTAAGGTTGGTGTCATTTGCTGTGTTGTGTTAAGGCTTGTATTATGTTGAAACGTCAACGTGGATGCAATTGTAGATTGTGTGGTTCTTTGCCATTGGCTTGTTTGCGTAGATGATAACGTTCTTGGTGAAGTTGATATTTCAATAGTTGGCATTTGAGTTGTGTTTGTAGCTGGTGGAACAGCTGAACTCGTTAAATTGGAGATTGTTGGACTTTGATTTGATGTTTCAGTATTGATGAAGGTAGTCGTTGATGAGGAATTAACATATGTCGTCGGACTTTGAGATTGGGCATTAGTTTTAGTGAAGCTAATTGAAGTGGCGGACAATCCAAAAGATGTAGTTTTGCTTGTTGCCGTTGATAAAAGGTTTATTGATGATGATAGAGGTACAATTGTTGTTGCTGATGTCGACAGAGCGCTGATAGGAGTGGCTGTTGACAATATTGTTGATGTGCCATTTGTGACTTGAATTCCAGTTGTAGATGCTTGTAATGTTGATGTTTGAATATTAGTCATATTTGTTGAATAATTAGTTTGTTGTGTTGTAAGGAATGTAGATGACAATGGGTTTGCTCCAGTAGATGCCGCATTTGTCATGGATGGACTTGAATATGATCCACGTGAAATTGTTGACATATGAATATTTGGTCCAGTTGTTGTTGAACCAGTAGAAGTTTGAAGGGCAGTTCCTGAAGTGGATGCACTAACATTTGTAGGATATGCTGAAGATCCAACAGAGAGAGGTGATGTATAATTGATTGATGGTGAAGGGGTGGTGGAGCTCACTGTCCAGGTTGTCAATCCTTTTGTTGTCCCAGAAAATAAGGAACTTGTTGGTAAGGTTGGTGTCATTTGCTGTGTTGTGTTAAGGCTTGTATTGTGTTGAAACGTCAACGTGGATGCAATTGTAGATTGCGGGGTACTTTGCCATTGGCTTGTTTGCGTAGACGATAACGTACTTGGTGAAGTTGATATTTCAATCGTTGGCATTTGAGTTGTATTTGTAGCTGGTGGAACAGCTGAACTCGTTAAATTGGAGATTGTTGGACTTTGATTTGATGTTTCAGTATTGATGAAGGTAGTCGTTGATGAGGAATTAACATATGTCGTCGCACTTTGAGATTGGGCATTAGTTTTAGTGAAACTAATTGAAGTGGCGGACAATCCAAAAGAAGTAGTTTTGCTTGTCGCTGTTGATAAAAGGTTTATTGATGATGACAGAGGTAAAATTGTTGTTGCTGATGTCGACAGAGCGCTGATAGGAGTGGCTGTTGTCAATATTGTTGATGTGCCATTTGTGACTTGAATTCCAGTTGTAGATGCTTGTGATGTTGATGTTTGAATATTAGTCATATTTGTTGAATAATTTGTTTGTTGTGTTGTAAGGAATGTAGATGACAATGGATTTGCTCCGGTAGATGCCGCATTTGGTATGGATGGACTTGAATATGATCCAAGTGATATTGTTGACGTATCAATATTTTGTCCGGTTGTTGTTGAACAACTAGAAGTTTGAAGGGCAATTCCTGAAGTGGATGCACTAACTTTTGTAGGATATGCTGAAGATCCAACAGAGAGAGGTGATGTAAAATTGATTGATGGTGAAGGGGTGGTGGAGCTCACTGTCCAGGTTGTCAATCCTTTTGTTGTCCCAGAAAAAAAGGAACTTGTTGGTAAGGTTGGTGTCATTTGCTGTGTTGTGTTAAGGCTTGTATTATGTTGAAACGTCAACGTGGATGCAATTGTAGATTGTGTGGTACTTTGCCATTGGCTTGTTTGCGTAGATGATAACGTTCTTGGTGAAGTTGATATTTCAATAGTTGGCATTTGAGTTGTGTTTGTAGCTGGTGGAACAGCTGAACTCGTTAAATTGGAGATTGTTGGACTTTGATTTGATGTTTCAGTATTGATGAAGGTAGTCGTTGATGAGGAATTCATATATGTCGTCGTACTTTGAGATTGGGTATTAGTTTTAGTGAAACTAATTGAAGTGGCGGACAATCCAAAAGAAGTAGTTTTGCTTGTTGCCGTTGATAAAAGGTTTATTGATGATGACAGAGGTAAAATTGTTGTTGCTGATGTCGACAGAGCGCTGATAGGAGTGGCTGTTGTCAATATTGTTGATGTGCCATTTGTGACTTGAATTCCAGTTGTAGATGCTTGTGATGTTGATGTTTGAATATTAGTCATATTTGTTGAATAATGTGTTTGTTGTGTTGTAAAGAATGTAGATGAGAATGGATTTGCTCCGGTAGATGCCGCATTTGGTATGGATGGACTTGAATATGATCCAAGTGATATTGTTGACGTATCAATATTTGGTCCGGTTGTTGTTGAACGACTAGAAGTTTGAAGGGCAGTTCCTGAAGTGGATGCACTAACATTTGTAGGATATGCTGAAGATCCAACAGAGAGAGGTGATGTATAATTGATTGATGGTGAAGGGGTGGTGGAGCTCACTGTCCAGGTTGTCAATCCTTTTGTTGTCCCAGAAAAAAAGGAACTTGTTGGTAAGGTTGGAGTCATTTGCTGTGTTGTGTTAAGGCTTGTATTATGTTGAAACGTCAACATGGATGCAATTGTAGAATGTGTGGTACTTTGCCATTGGCTTGTTTGCGTAGATGATAACGTTCTTGGTGAAGTTGATATTTCAATAGTTGGCATTTGAGTTGTGTTTGTAGCTGGTGGAACAGCTGAACTTGGTAAATTGGAGATTGTTGGAGTTTGATTTGATGTTTCGGTATTGATGAAGGTAGTCGTTGATGAGGAATTAACATATGTCGTCGCACTTTGAGATTGGGCATTAGTTTTAGTGAAACTAATTGAAGTGGCGGACAATCCAAAAGATGTAGTTTTGCTTGTTGCCGTTGATAAAAGGTTTATTGATGATGACAGAGGTAAAATTGTTGTTGCTGATGTCGACAGAGCGCTGATAGGAGTGGCTGTTGTCAATATTGTTGATGTGCCATTTGTGACTTGAATTCCAGTTGTAGATGCTTGTGATGTTGATGTTTGAATATTAGTCATATTTGTTGAATAATTTGTTCGTTGTGTTGTAAGGAATGTAGATGACAATGGGTTTGCTCCAGTAGATGCCGCATTTGGTATGGATGGACTTGAATATGATCCACGTGAAATTGTTGACATATGAATATTTGGTCCAGTTGTTGTTGAACCAGTAGAAGTTTGAAGGGCAGTTCCTGAAGTGGATGCACTAACATTTGTAGGATATGCTGAAGATCCAACAGAGAGAGGTGATGTATAATTGATTGATGGTGAAGGGGTGGTGGAGCTCACTGTCCAGGTTGTCAATCCTTTTGTTGTCCCAGAAAATAAGGAACTTGTTGGTAAGGTTGGTGTCATTTGCTGTGTTGTGTTAAGGCTTGTATTATGTTGAAACGTCAACGTGGATGCAATTGTAGATTGTGTGGTACTTTGCCATTGGCTTGTTTGCGTAGACGATAACGTACTTGGTGAAGTTGATATTTCAATCGTTGGCATTTGAGTTGTGTTTGTAGCTGGTGGAACAGCTGAACTCGTTAAATTGGAGATTGTTGGACTTTGATTTGATGTTTCAGTATTGATGAAGGTAGTCGTTGATGAGGAATTAACATATGTCGTCGCACTTTGAGATTGGGCATTAGTTTTAGTGAAACTAATTGAAGTGGCGGACAATCCAAAAGAAGTAGTTTTGCTTGTCGCTGTTGATAAAAGGTTTATTGATGATGACAGAGGTAAAATTGTTGTTGCTGATGTCGACAGAGCGCTGATAGGAGTGGCTGTTGTCAATATTGTTGATGTGCCATTTGTGACTTGAATTCCAGTTGTAGATGCTTGTGATGTTGATGTTTGAATATTAGTCATATTTGTTGAATAATTTGTTTGTTGTGTTGTAAGGAATGTAGATGACAATGGATTTGCTCCGGTAGATGCCGCATTTGGTATGGATGGACTTGAATATGATCCAAGTGATATTGTTGACGTATCAATATTTTGTCCGGTTGTTGTTGAACGACTAGAAGTTTGAAGGGCAGTTCCTGAAGTGGATGCACTAACTTTTGTAGGATATGCTGAAGATCCAACAGAGAGAGGTGATGTATAATTGATTGATGGTGAAGGGGTGGTGGAGCTCACTGTCCAGGTTGTCAATCCTTTTGTTGTCCCAGAAAATAAGGAACTTGTTGGTAAGGTTGGTGTCATTTGCTGTGTTGTGTTAAGGCTTGTATTATGTTGAAACGTCAACGTGGATGCAATTGTAGATTGTGTGGTACTTTGCCATTGGCTTGTTTGCGTAGACGATAACGTACTTGGTGAAGTTGATATTTCAATAGTTGGCATTTGAGTTGTGTTTGTAGCTGGTGGAACAGCTGAACTCGTTAAATTGGAGATTGTTGGACTTTGATTTGATGTTTCAGTATTGATGAAGATAGTCGTTGATGAGGAATTAACATATGTCGTCGTACTTTGAGATTGGGCATTAGTTTTAGTGAAACTAATTGAAGTGGCGGACAATCCAAAAGAAGTAGTTTTGCTTGTTGCCGTTGATAAAAGGTTTATTGATGATGACAGAGGTAAAATTGTTGTTGCTGATGTCGACAGAGCGCTGATAGGACTGGCTGTTGTCAATATTGTTGATGTGCCATTTGTGACTTGAATTCCAGTTGTAGATGCTTGTGATGTTGATGTTTGAATATTAGTCATATTTGTTGAATAATTTGTTTGTTGTGTTGTAAAGAATGTAGATGAGAATGGATTTGCTCCGGTAGATGCCGCATTTGGTATGGATGGACTTGAATATGATCCAAGTGATATTGTTGACGTATCAATATTTGGTCCGGTTGTTGTTGAACGACTAGAAGTTTGAAGGGCAGTTCCTGAAGTGGATGCACTAACATTTGTAGGATATGCTGAAGATCCAACAGAGAGAGGTGATGTATAATTGATTGATGGTGAAGGGGTGGTGGAGCTCACTGTCCAGGTTGTCAATCCTTTTGTTGTCCCAGAAAAAAAGGAACTTGTTGGTAAGGTTGGAGTCATTTGCTGTGTTGTGTTAAGGCTTGTATTATGTTGAAACGTCAACATGGATGCAATTGTAGAATGTGTGGTACTTTGCCATTGGCTTGTTTGCGTAGATGATAACGTTCTTGGTGAAGTTGATATTTCAATAGTTGGCATTTGAGTTGTGTTTGTAGCTGGTGGAACAGCTGAACTCGTTAAATTGGAGATTGTTGGACTTTGATTTGATGTTTCAGTATTGATGAAGGTAGTCATTGATGAGGAATTAACATATGTCGTCGCACTTTGAGATTGGGCATTAGTTTTAGTGAAACTAATTGAAGTGGCGGACAATCCAAAAGAAGTAGTTTTGCTTGTCGCTGTTGATAAAAGGTTTATTGATGATGACAGAGGTAAAATTGTTGTTGCTGATGTCGACAGAGCGCTGATAGGAGTGGCTGTTGTCAATATTGTTGATGTGCCATTTGTGACTTGAATTCCAGTTGTAGATGCTTGTGATGTTGATGTTTGAATATTAGTCATATTTGTTGAATAATTTGTTCGTTGTGTTGTAAGGAATGTAGATGACAATGGGTTTGCTCCAGTAGATGCCGCATTTGGTATGGATGGACTTGAATATGATCCACGTGAAATTGTTGACATATGAATATTTGGTCCAGTTGTTGTTGAACCAGTAGAAGTTTGAAGGGCAGTTCCTGAAGTGGATGCACTAACATTTGTAGGATATGCTGAAGATCCAACAGAGAGAGGTGATGTATAATTGATTGATGGTGAAGGGGTGGTGGAGCTCACTGTCCAGGTTGTCAATCCTTTTGTTGTCCCAGAAAATAAGGAACTTGTTGGTAAGGTTGGTGTCATTTGCTGTGTTGTGTTAAGGCTTGTATTATGTTGAAACGTCAACGTGGATGCAATTGTAGATTGTGTGGTACTTTGCCATTGGCTTGTTTGCGTAGACGATAACGTACTTGGTGAAGTTGATATTTCAATCGTTGGCATTTGAGTTGTGTTTGTAGCTGGTGGAACAGCTGAACTCGTTAAATTGGAGATTGTTGGACTTTGATTTGATGTTTCAGTATTGATGAAGGTAGTCGTTGATGAGGAATTAACATATGTCGTCGTACTTTGAGATTGGGCATTAGTTTTAGTGAAACTAATTGAAGTGGCGGACAATCCAAAAGAAGTAGTTTTGCTTGTTGCCGTTGATAAAAGGTTTATTGATGATGACAGAGGTAAAATTGTTGTTGCTGATGTCGACAGAGCGCTGATAGGAGTGGCTGTTGTCAATATTGTTGATGTGCCATTTGTGACTTGAATTCCAGTTGTAGATGCTTGTGATGTTGATGTTTGAATATTAGTCATATTTGTTGAATAATTTGTTTGTTGTGTTGTAAGGAATGTAGATGACAATGGATTTGCTCCGGTAGATGCCGCATTTGGTATGGATGGACTTGAATATGATCCAAGTGATATTGTTGACGTATCAATATTTTGTCCGGTTGTTGTTGAACAACTAGAAGTTTGAAGGGCAATTCCTGAAGTGGATGCACTAACATTTGTAGGATATGCTGAAGATCCAACAGAGAGAGGTGATGTATAATTGATTGATGGTGAAGGGGTGGTGGAGCTCACTGTCCAGGTTGTCAATCCTTTTGTTGTCCCAGAAAAAAAGGAACTTGTTGGTAAGGTTGGTGTCATTTGCTGTGTTGTGTTAAGGCTTGTATTATGTTGAAACGTCAACGTGGATGCAATTGTAGATTGTGTGGTACTTTGCCATTGGCTTGTTTGCGTAGACGATAACGTACTTGGTGAAGTTGATATTTCAATAGTTGGCATTTGAGTTGTGTTTGTAGCTGGTGGAACAGCTGAACTCGTTAAATTGGAGATTGTTGGACTTTGATTTGATGTTTCAGTATTGATGAAGGTAGTCGTTGATGAGGAATTCATATATGTCGTCGTACTTTGAGATTGGGCATTAGTTTTAGTGAAACTAATTGAAGTGGCGGACAATCCAAAAGAAGTAGTTTTGCTTGTCGCCGTTGATAAAAGGTTTATTGATGATGACAGAGGTAAAATTGTTGTTGCTGATGTCGACAGAGCGCTGATAGGACTGGCTGTTGTCAATATTGTTGATGTGCCATTTGTGACTTGAATTCCAGTTGTAGATGCTTGTGATGTTGATGTTTGAATATTAGTCATATTTGTTGAATAATGTGTTTGTTGTGTTGTAAAGAATGTAGATGAGAATGGATTTGCTCCGGTAGATGCCGCATTTGGTATGGATGGACTTGAATATGATTCAAGTGATATTGTTGACGTATCAATATTTTGTCCGGTTGTTGTTGAACGACTAGAAGTTTGAAGGGCAATTCCTGAAGTGGATGCACTAACATTTGTAGGATATGCTGAAGATCCAACAGAGAGAGGTGATGTATAATTGATTGATGGTGAAGGGGTGGTGGAGCTCACTGTCCAGGTTGTCAATCCTTTTGTTGTCCCAGAAAAAAAGGAACTTGTTGGTAAGGTTGGTGTCATTTGCTGTGTTGTGTTAAGGCTTGTATTATGTTGAAACGTCAACATGGATGCAATTGTAGAATGTGTGGTACTTTGCCATTGGCTTGTTTGCGTAGATGATAACGTTCTTGGTGAAGTTGATATTTCAATAGTTGGCATTTGAGTTGTGTTTGTAGCTGGTGGAACAGCTGAACTCGTTAAATTGGAGATTGTTGGACTTTGATTTGATGTTTCAGTATTGATGAAGGTAGTCATTGATGAGGAATTAACATATGTCGTCGGACTTTGAGATTGGGCATTAGTTTTAGTGAAGCTAATTGAAGTGGCGGACAATCCAAAAGATGTAGTTTTGCTTGTTGCCGTTGATAAAAGGTTTATTGATGATGACAGAGGTAAAATTGTTGTTGCTGATGTCGACAGAGCGCTGATAGGAGTGGCTGTTGACAATATTGTTGATGTGCCATTTGTGACTTGAATTCCAGTTGTAGATGCTTGTGATGTTGATGTTTGAATATTAGTCATATTTGTTGAATAATTTGTTTGTTGTGTTGTAAGGAATGTAGATGACAATGGATTTGCTCCAGTAGATGCCGCATTTGTCATGGATGGACTTGAATATGATCCACGTGAAATTGTTGACATATGAATATTTGGTCCAGTTGTTGTTGAACCAGTAGAAGTTTGAAGGGCAGTTCCTGAAGTGGATGCACTAACATTTGTAGGATATGCTGAAGATCCAACAGAGAGAGGTGATGTATAATTGATTGATGGTGAAGGGGTGGTGGAGCTCACTGTCCAGGTTGTCAATCCTTTTGTTGTCCCAGAAAAAAAGGAACTTGTTGGTAAGGTTGGTGTCATTTGCTGTGTTGTGTTAAGGCTTGTATTATGTTGAAACGTCAACATGGATGCAATTGTAGAATGTGTGGTACTTTGCCATTGGCTTGTTTGCGTAGATGATAACGTTCTTGGTGAAGTTGATATTTCAATAGTTGGCATTTGAGTTGTGTTTGTAGCTGGTGGAACAGCTGAACTCGTTAAATTGGAGATTGTTGGACTTTGATTTGATGTTTGAGTATTGATGAAGGTAGTCATTGATGAGGAATTAACATATGTCGTCGGACTTTGAGATTGGGCATTAGTTTTAGTGAAGCTAATTGAAGTGGCGGACAATCCAAAAGATGTAGTTTTGCTTGTTGCCGTTGATAAAAGGTTTATTGATGATGACAGAGGTAAAATTGTTGTTGCTGATGTCGACAGAGCGCTGATAGGAGTGGCTGTTGTCAATACTGTTGATGAGCCATTTGTGACTTGAATTCCAGTTGTAGATGCTTGTAATGTTGATGTTTGAATATTAGTCATATTTGTTGAATAATTAGTTTGTTGTGTTGTAGGGAATGTAGATGACAATGGGTTTGCTCCAGTAGATGCCGCATTTGTCATGGATGGACTTGAATATGATCCACGTGAAATTGTTGACATATGAATATTTGGTCCAGTTGTTGTTGAACCAGTAGAAGTTTGAAGGGCAGTTCCTGAAGTGGATGCACTAACATTTGTAGGATATGCTGAAGATCCAACAGAGAGAGGTGATGTATAATTGATTGATGGTGAAGGGGTGGTGGAGCTCACTGTCCAGGTTGTCAATCCTTTTGTTGTCCCAGAAAATAAGGAACTTGTTGGTAAGGTTGGTGTCATTTGTTGTGTTGTGTTAAGGCTTGTATTATTTTGAAACGTCAACGTGGATGCAATTGTAGATTGTGTGGTACTTTGCCATTGGCTTGTTTGCGTAGACGATAACGTACTTGGTGAAGTTGATATTTCAATCGTTGGCATTTGAGTTGTGTTTGTAGCTGGTGGAACAGCTGAACTCGTTAAATTGGAGATTGTTGGACTTTGATTTGATGTTTCAGTATTGATGAAGGTAGTCGTTGATGAGGAATTAACATATGTCGTCGTACTTTGAGATTGGGCATTAGTTTTAGTGAAACTAATTGAAGTGGCGGACAATCCAAAAGAAGTAGTTTTGCTTGTTGCCGTTGATAAAAGGTTTATTGATGATGACAGAGGTAAAATTGTTGTTGCTGATGTCGACAGAGCGCTGATAGGAGTGGCTGTTGTCAATATTGTTGATGTGCCATTTGTGACTTGAATTCCAGTTGTAGATGCTTGTGATGTTGATGTTTGAATATTAGTCATATTTGTTGAATAATTTGTTTGTTGTGTTGTAAAGAATGTAGATGACAATGGATTTGCTCCGGTAGATGCCGCATTTGGTATGGATGGACTTGAATATGATCCAAGTGATATTGTTGACTTATCAATATTTTGTCCGGTTGTTGTTGAACAACTAGAAGTTTGAAGGGCAATTCCTGAAGTGGATGCACTAACTTTTGTAGGATATGCTGAAGATCCAACAGAGAGAGGTGATGTAAAATTGATTGATGGTGAAGGGGTGGTGGAGCTCACTGTCCAGGTTGTCAATCCTTTTGTTGTCCCAGAAAAAAAGGAACTTGTTGATAAGGTTGGTGTCATTTGCTGTGTTGTGTTAAGGCTTGTATTATGTTGAAACGTCAACGTGGATGCAATTGTAGATTGTGTGGTACTTTGCCATTGGCTTGTTTGCGTAGATGATAACGTTCTTGGTGAAGTTGATATTTCAATACTTGGCATTTGAGTTGTGTTTGTAGCTGGTGGAACAGCTGAACTCGTTAAATTGGAGATTGTTGGACTTTGATTTGATGTTTCAGTATTGATGAAGGTAGTCGTTGATGAGGAATTCATATATGTCGTCGTACTTTGAGATTGGGTATTAGTTTTAGTGAAACTAATTGAAGTGGCGGACAATCCAAAAGAAGTAGTTTTGCTTGTTGCCGTTGATAAAAGGTTTATTGATGATGACAGAGGTAAAATTGTTGTTGCTGATGTCGACAGAGCGCTGATAGGACTGGCTGTTGTCAATATTGTTGATGTGCCATTTGTGACTTGAATTCCAGTTGTAGATGCTTGTGATGTTGATGTTTGAATATTAGTCATATTTGTTGAATAATTTGTTTGTTGTGTTGTAAAGAATGTAGATGACAATGGATTTGCTCCGGTAGATGCCGCATTTGGTATGGATGGACTTGAATATGATCCAAGTGATATTGTTGACGTATCAATATTTTGTCCGGTTGTTGTTGAACGACTAGAAGTTTGAAGGGCAATTCCTGAAGTGGATGCACTAACATTTGTAGGATATGCTGAAGATCCAACAGAGAGAGGTGATGTATAATTGATTGATGGTGAAGGGGAGGTGGAGCTGACTGTCCAGGTTGTCAATCCTTTTGTTGTCCCAGAAAAAAAGGAACTTGTTGGTAAGGTTGGAGTCATTTGCTGTGTTGTGTTAAGGCTTGTATTATGTTGAAACGTCAACATGGATGCAATTGTAGAATGTGTGGTACTTTGCCATTGGCTTGTTTGCGTAGATGATAACGTTCTTGGTGAAGTTGATATTTCAATAGTTGGCATTTGAGTTGTGTTTGTAGCTGGTGGAACAGCTGAACTCGTTAAATTGGAGATTGTTGGACTTTGATTTGATGTTTCAGTATTGATGAAGGTAGTCGTTGATGAGGAATTAACATATGTCGTCGCACTTTGAGATTGGGCATTAGTTTTAGTGAAACTAATTGAAGTGGCGGACAATCCAAAAGAAGTAGTTTTGCTTGTCGCCGTTGATAAAAGGTTTATTGATGATGACAGAGGTAAAATTGTTGTTGCTGATGTCGACAGAGCGCTGATAGGAGTGGCTGTTGTCAATATTGTTGATGTGCCATTTGTGACTTGAATTCCAGTTGTAGATGCTTGTGATGTTGATGTTTGAATATTAGTCATATTTGTTGAATAATTTGTTCGTTGTGTTGTAAGGAATGTAGATGACAATGGGTTTGCTCCAGTAGATGCCGCATTTGGTATGGATGGACTTGAATATGATCCACGTGAAATTGTTGACATATGAATATTTGGTCCAGTTGTTGTTGAACCAGTAGAAGTTTGAAGGGCAGTTCCTGAAGTGGATGCACTAACATTTGTAGGATATGCTGAAGATCCAACAGAGAGAGGTGATGTATAATTGATTGATGGTGAAGGGGTGGTGGAGCTCACTGTCCAGGTTGTCAATCCTTTTGTTGTCCCAGAAAATAAGGAACTTGTTGGTAAGGTTGGTGTCATTTGCGGTGTTGTGTTA